AACAAAAATATTAGACTTTGAATTTTGAGATTGATGTTGGAACTAAGATTTTTGGAAATAAGGTTTTTTTTATCACATTGCATCCATTCATTGTATATGCATGAAAGGTAATAATGAGAAAGTAGACTTTTGAAATTGAAATGATTTTAAGAATCACAAAGAAAAGAATTTTGATGATGATTTTTTAAGATGAGGTTGTCAAAAAGTTATCAAGATGAAAGGAATCCTTTTAAGGCAAAAGCTTTTGATTGTGAATTTTTAAAGTTGCAATGCCTTTGTTAAGGAGAAGCTTTTTAATTGCAATTTTTTAAAGTTTCAACACCTTTCTTAAGAAAGATTTTTTTATTGTCAATTTTTAAAGTTTCAATGCCTTTATTGAGGAAGAGCTTTTCAATTTTGAATTTTTAACATTTCAAAGCCTCTATTGAGAAAAAGCTTTTTTATTTTGAATTTTTAAAGTTTTAATGCCTTTATTAAGGAAGAGCTTTCTAATTTTGAATTTTTTAAGTTTCAGCACCTCTGTTCATGATTTTTTTATTTTGAATTTTTAAGTTTCAAAGCCTCTATTAAGGAGGATCTTTTCAATATTGTTTCCTGACATAGACAAAATGGATGTCTTTGGTCTTTTTATAATTCTTAGTTCATAGAAAATGTCTACAGAAGGACAACTATATATATTCCATTTTGTCAAGGAATTTTTTTTTACATTCAATGTGCTTCGAATTTTATTTCGATAATGGGTTGTGAAATTATTTAATTGGGGCTTTAATTATGAAGTTGAATTTAAGTCCAAATCAAATGGCCAAAAAAAGTTTTATTTATTCTTTTTAATTTTATTTTACTTTATTTCTTTCTATTTTTCAAGTTTGTTATTTGATAAAAAAAATAATCGAAATTGAAATTTTGATTTTTAAGAATCATGGATAATTAGTGAGGGTCACAGTGAAATTCAACACCAATTTTAATTTTGGAAAATCTAGAGGATCTAGAAAATAGGAAAAAGAAAATAAATTAAAACTTGAATTATAATTGAATTTGTCAATTCAATTAAAGTTCTCCAACTAAGTTTAGGATTTTAATTACTATATAAAGAGAGTATTACACAGCAAAAAACAGAGAGACAAACAACAATCAAGCAATTAAGCAAACACAATGAGCAAACGAAAAAATCTTGGTTTGGTTAAGGTTTCGGTTTTTTGAGTTTTGCTTATAATTTTTTTTTTTTTTGAGATTGTTTCTTTTAAGTACAAGTTTACAATTGTTTTGATATGTGGAAGTTGAATTTTCTTTGGGTTTATTGGTTCTCAGTTTTTTATTTTTGGATTTTTAGATTTTTTTTGGTTTTGGGTTGAATTTTTTTTGTGATCCATTTAATTTTCTAGCCAGATTGATGGTGGTTAGAGGGTTTTGTGGTTTTTGAGTTTGTTGAATTTTTTTATAACTGTTTGAATTTTTCAACATTAGAATCTGGGTTTTTGGTTGGTTTTTGGAAACTATTAATTTTTTTATTGTCTTTTCTAGAAAGAAATTAGAGAACTTTAGAGGTAGAAAGAGAAAATAAAAGAGAAAACTGAAAAAAAAAAAAAAAAAGAAGGATTTTAACTTAAATACTAAGGAAGAAACGATTTCATTTTGGTGTATATGAGGTTGTTGACCCATGAACCTTTTAAGGAGCTCTACATGTTGACTCGATTCTCTACCCGAGACGTATCGTAGGAAATTATTTTAATTCTATTTTTTCTTTAATTTAGTTTCTTTGATTTTTACCTATTTATTTTAGAATATTTTTGCATGTTTATTATAATTTTTTTTTTGCATATTTATTTGGGTATATTTATTATCATTTTATTATTTTGCATGATTTTATTTTATGATTTTATTTATGATTTTGCCATGATTTTATTTTTTATGAGTGTTATTACATGATTTTTAGTATTGCATTATTGCATGATTTATAATATTCTTATGATGTTTTTTATGATATTTTTATAGCATTTTTGTATGAAATTATTTTGGAATAAATTAAATTTTTGATAAAATATTTAATAAATCCAACGACAGAGTCTCTTTAAATAAATAGTAAGTTTATTTTAAATACTCTTAAGGTGAAAAGAATTTTTTTTGTGAAAGAGTAAAGACTTTTTTCAATATTTAAATATCAAAATTAATAAAAACCATCTTTGATTAAAGGTTTAGACAAGATAACATAGGACTAATTTGGTTCCAATTTGTGGGCATTGTGGGGGTGCTAAAATATTTCCTACACGTAATCGACTTTGAAACCTAGTTCTATTGATATAGACTGGGACTTATTCTTTTTAGGAACCTTTAGTTTAAGGTTAGGACAACTTTAAAAATGATAGATTCATATAGGCGGCCAATCACATCTAGATAAAAAATATTAGTAGTGGCTTCAAATTTTAGTGTTTAATGGGCAAGTTTTTGAACTTGAACATTTTGACACTAGGAATAAGATGACATCAATTGACTTTATCTTTCATGTTATCTATTGCAGAGAGAAAGCTCTTAGACATATTAGAACTATGTATGACAGCTTATATGAGCTTTATAAGGAATATGTAAATGCTTATGCAATAATTAATGTTGGCAAATCTATGGAAAATAATGTGCAAAAAATGGTATTACCACCAATGTTTCTATTACTAGTGGAATTGGGAAGGGAAAAGTTGTTTTAATAAGAAGTCAAAGTATGTAATGTTAGGAGAGGATAGAATTTGCAATGTTAAGTCTGAGCTAGATAACGATGTGTTTTTAGAATTTGATGCCTTAGAGCAATGGAAGGCAAATAACCTTAAGTTTTAAATTTTATTCAAAATGGCTTGTGAAAGTTTGTCTATTCCTATTACTACAACGACTTCATATTCAACTTTTAGTGATAGAGATAGAGTTATTGATACATATCGTTGATTTTTAGGAATTGATACAATGTAAATGTTGATTTGTGGTAGTGACTTGTATCTAACCTTCAATGGTCTCAAAAGAAAAGAAAAGGTAAGTAAGTTTCATTTTTCCTTTTATTTGTTATATATTTAGAATTTTATAATGTTTTTTTATTTAGTTTTAATTTCTTATATAGACTAAAGCAGAAGTGAAGAAGATATCCTTATTTTAAAGTTTGAAGAATTTTGAAGGTTATTAATGTCAATTTTTAAAGATAAATATTTTTAATAACTTAATTTTTATCCTTAGTTGTTTAGGGGTTTTTTATACCACTTAAGTTTGTTTTAGTGAAATAGAATTTTCATTTAGTATTTTGGTGTTTTGTGAAGGAACTTGTTTAGTGCTGATGTTTTTCCTATACATTAGCCATTAGTAACAATCATCGAGGTAGCATGGTTGTATAAGTCTTATTGAAGTTGTATTATCATGATACTGTTTGTTTTTTGTGTTTCAAATTATTTAGTACTTAATTAACAATTAAAGAATGAAGATGTCAAACTTAAGTTGTTGCATGAATTCATACAGTTTCAGCTTTTATGTAGAATTTCCTAATTTCGTTTTTATATAGGATTTCATAATTTATATTTGTTTGTTTGTTTAGTTATGGTTTATTTATTATTCATGAGTATATTTGTTTATTATTCATAAATATATTCGTTCATTTATTATTTAAAAATGAATTCATTTAATTTAAATGAACTAAACATAAATCGATCACAATATTTTACAATTTAAAAGAATTGAGCTCAAACGTAATATAAAATTTTTAATCGAATATGAACCGATCCCAAATAATTGTAAAATAAATGAACAATCATGAACATATATTTATTCATTCATGTTTGGTTTGTTTATACTTCTACTTAAAGTGCAACATTGTTCACTAATATAGTAAATCAGCCATTTATTATTAGTCACTATCACTAAATATACGAGAAAAAGATTGTGTGAAACGGTAACTCATGTTAATATATTATCATTTCATTCAAATTATGTCACGTAATTATATTATAATAAAAGTCAATCATTACACATCAAATATGATAATTAAATATTAAAGTATTTATTTAAGTAAACTCAAGCATATAATGTATAATAAATAATTAAGTTTTTATAATAATATGGTTATATGACATAATTTAAATATAAAAAATATATACTAATATTAAATAATCTTTCATACAATTTTTTTTTTATACACAATATTCAAAAGTCATTCTTCTCATGGTGTTATTTTTCAACCAAACTTAACTTTTTAGTACATTAAATCTCATTATTTTATATCACAAAAAATAATTCACAAATTACAAATGATGTGAAAGCTTAAATATTCATTTAAATTTTGATACACAATAGGTTCAAGGCACTTTTTTGGGACCGTTAGACTAGTACTGTTACAAGTGTTACCAACATTATACTTGTTGGATTAAAAACAATCTTCGGCTTAATAATTATCACCCATGTTAAGAAAGTTAAAGTTGCTGAACTTCAAACTCATCCCCTTGTTATTATGATTATTATTATTATTATTTTGTATAGAATTCAATTTCTATACATCGTCGCTGAAGTTTTAAAACTTCACAAGTTAAATTAAAAAAATTTATTATATGTATCTTTTTATTACATTAATTTTTTATTTTTAATATATCCTAAAAAATTATCAATTCTCTTATCCTACTGATGACCATCGTGTAAGAGATAATTTTCCTTCGTACATATACCAAAGAAATAGTTTGAATAATTTGATATGAAATATCTCATGTAAAGTACATATTTGGCAAGCAAGAAACATTAGTTAGGAAACCTTGGCACGTGGCATCTAAATAATTGTGATAGCAACAACTAGAGCCGGTTCCCATCCACTCTCATATTTGTCGACTTTCAAGATATATTTTTGAGAATATATCACTTAAAAATGCATTTAATTAATTATAATTTAATATTATATGAAATTTATAAAAAATCATGTAAAATGGACTTTTAAGTGTGAATTTTATATATCAGTTATAATTTTTTTCCATATCTTTCCTTCCCTTTGCTCTAAATGATTGATCAACATGTTTCTCTTTACGGTGTAATAATTCGAAGAATTTGATATTTACATGGATGTCTTTGTCTTCCCCTACCCATTTATACAAAGTAAAACTAGTGAAGTGCGTTTTATATGAGAGAGTGCATCTTAAAATAACGATAACAACTACCTAGCACAAGCAACATTACTCGAAAGTTGGAACACAGGAATTCGATAGAAAAACAAAAGAGGGAGACAAAAAGGGAATTTGATTAAAGAGACAGAGATCCAAAATAAAACTTTATGATGTAGCCACCCAAAAAGGCTCCCAATTTAACAATCCTTTGTTTTCATTTTCACCTTCTTTGCACCTGCCTCTGCCAGGCCTTTGGAACCTTTTCATTCCCATTGCAGCCCCAATATCATCAGCCCTTTTTCCATCTATTCCCTCCTCCAAGTAAGCACCCTGTTCTTCCTCTTCGGCTTCATAGTTGCTATCATTTTCAAACTCTTCTTCTTTATTGTCTTCATTGTTTCCTTCGCTTTCTTCGTCGGCTGTTTCTTCTTCATAGTCAAAACTTGGAGTAGAATATTTCAAAAGGCACAGTCTAAGGCGGCCATTGCTTCGCTCAGCTTGAAAGAGAGTGCGTGTTGATGGGGCCTTGACAGCTTTGATTACCAGCCTTCCGTCTTCTCGGTGGGGCCTAACTTGAAGACATTCCGATCCACTTATCGTTGTCAGAGGAGGTGGAAAATTGAGAGATATTGCTTTCTTAGCTCCCAATAGTTGACGCAATTTATGTTGCTTCCTTGTTGGAGAATTTCCACCTTCACAATCTGATGCAGACAACTTGAAAATGCTGTCTTCAAGGATGTCACTGCCTGTCTCATTACCTAAATTCTCGGTGCACAGTTCCAAGCTCTTCTCACTTAGTGTGGACCAAGAACGCTTGACTAGAGGATGAACATAAGTGTTTTCTTTTTCTACCATCTCTTTCGAGGATTGGGGACCATTGGAGAGAAGTTGGAGGAAGCTCCAGCCACCCATGTCAGGATCTGAGGATGTATGCTTGTCATGAAGAGATACGGTTTTGTTGCTAATCTCTTCATAACAGCATTTCTCCTCGATTTCTTTGGTGTTCGAATCAAAGAAACATGATTTAATGGCTAACTCGAACGGTTGGCAGAAGTGAGGTCTTGCTGACGACAACGTTAGCCTTAGTGCTCTAGGCTCAACCAGCTGTGACTCGAGACATGACTGCGGGCCTTGGCGGCAAACAATCGTTGCCATAAAGATAAAACCGGCGAGCCGGAATGATAGAAATATAGTTTACTGTTTAGAGAAATGAAAAGCAGATGACAAAAATATGAAAACTAGAAGTGTAAGGAGGCAGAGGAAAACAGAGTTAGAGGTTTTTGAGGAAAGAAAGGGAGGGGAAAAGGACGTTGCATATGAGGGATAAGCGAGAGGTGGGGTGTGAATTTGTAGTGGCCTAAAAGTGCCAAGAGGTACAGTGTACAGAGAGGTTGGGACTTCGGAGGGGGGCTTTTTACACCACTTGAATTATACTATTCTTCAATCTTCCACACACTGACAAAGAGAATAAAGGAACAGAAAAAAAAAAAAAAAAGGAAGTATTCTATTTAATATATATTTATTTATTTCTAACTTAAATTGGTTGAATTAGAATTTCAGCAACGAAGTTCTTCTAAAAATCTCATATGGGGCAGAATTTAAGTCGGCTGGTGACGTCTTTATCTTGGGCATGAATGTAGTTTAAAGAGAAACAGATGGGGTGTAACATTGCTCCAAATTTACCATCTTTGCTATTCTCTTCCAAAAGAAAGCCAACAAAAGGACAGGACATGTAGGATTCTCCCATATATTTCCTGATACTGTGATAGTGATTGTTCTCTTATCTTCTTTTTTACTTTTATTGAAAGCCCAAAACACAATCCATCGTTTCATGTATGATTCATATGTTTTAAGAGTCAAAACCTATGTTGATTGCATTCAAAAAAGAGGAATAATAATATGCTACTATCAGCCCACAGCCTTTGAATTCTCCGGGCAGTAAAGTTACATAAATGGACATGAATTCCGGCAGACCAAATTTGAGAATTGACCAAAACTCCACTTCTTTATGCTAAAATACGACCCAGCAGACCAACAAAGTGAAGGGCAAGCTTGTCAAAACTGCAATGTTTGGCTTTGATTAGGATGGGAAATAAAATGAATGCTTCGTGGATCTATAATTATGTTTGGGAAAAATAGGTGTTTGGACCGACAGCCTCCTACCCCACCGTGGATTTAAACAATGGCAAAACCAGTGAGTCCCACCGGAAATGACTTTGCCAAGTTATTCAAATATAGTCATGTTACTCCACATTGTTTCACTGTTTTTATTTTGATGGATTATTCATTCAAGGAATATACGGTTGCTTCCATCATCTACTCTGCACACTTAATTTGAAACTTCAGGTTGGTTGAGTTTGGTTTGTGTTAACATCATTCTATTCTGGCTGTGGTTTCATCAACTCAAAAAACTTTTGAAAAAGAAAGAAGTGATCCACCACTAACTCATCCCTTTAGTTTGTCGGCTAGGTGCTGACCTATGAATGCTATACACAAAATCTCTCTCTCTCTCTCTCTCTCTCTCTCTCTGTAAAAAGAAGGAAAAGAAAAGAAATAAAATCATCAACAAGAGTGAAAATGAAAAAAAATAATAATAATGAAGAAGGTAGGCCAAATGTGTAGACAAAGGTAGGCCATGTGTGTAGACAACAAATGACCTACCCTAAAAACGTTTAAAGAATGCAAAGTTTCCTTAGGATACAAAACCTGGTGTTAGGACTCACTACTAGTTAAGGGATCTGCGGCTGTGGGTTTCGTAGAATAGAAAAGCTGGCGGGGTTCCTAGCAGTAGCACCATTTCGACCAAAAAGGATGTAGCTGGCATCCTGATTTTGAACATCACGGTATGTACCACCCATACTGTACAACAACTTTTGCGATTCTGCCTTTCTCTGATCACACATGCATGGGCAAGCACAGATTTTGTACCAAAAAGGAAAAAAAAAAAAAGAAAAACCTTGTTTACATTTTCTCTCACATTCCGTTAGTTTTTTGTTTATTTTTAGTTGGGGCTTATGAGGGGAAGAAAGATGAGAAATTCAGTCTGACATTTATCTGGAAGCCAAGAATGACCCAGGAAGAACAGCTAAGAGCTCATGATGCACCAGACAAGACGGTAGTTTTCGGGAAAATATTTTTCGCATATTATTTTTCCTTTGTCTAAACATTTCTAAAGTAGGACAACAAAAGTAAGCATAATTTATACATATACTCTGCTTTCAGGTATATTTTACCCCACGGATAACCTCTGGCTTCTTTGTGGTCAGTTATATGCTTGACATCCCAAAGATAAGCCAGTCAGATTGTGAAAAGAGTAAATGCGTGGTGGATGCTTCTAGGAAGATGTTTCGTAAAATATGTCATGTTTCTGTATTTTCCCATTTTCTATATGAATTTCAAACAAATATTATGGCCATTATCAAGCAGACCTTCAAGCAGGCAGGCTTGACTTCTATCTTTGTCCATGTTATATGACCGAAAGCAGATAATAACTATAATATGGCATCTGATAAAGCAATAGCCCACAAGTGACTTTTACACTTGTGACTCCTTTTATTGTTTAATGCACATAAAGTCTGAAGCTTATCCACTCAACTAAGGAATTATTTTTTGAGGAAAAAAGACAATAAAATTAATAATAGAATCATTCACCACTAGATTTATTAGAACAAAAATTAGAAACCATATTGTCATATCTGTCGGATGAAAAGTTCTAGGCTTCAATTTATGTTTGATGGTCCTTGATTTACAAGAAAAAACATTTATGAGCATTTGATTTACGGATTATGAGTTTTTTTTTTTTTTTTTAAGGAATCTAACTTTTCATAATGTAATTTTAACATTTAATTTGTGAAATGTGATTTTATGAAGGTTTTCAAGATTATTAATAGTGTTAAGGAATAAATAGCTTAGAATTAAAAACTCTCATCCTTTTAAGATTTTTTTAAATTTATGACGAAATATAAAATTTGTCTCACTTTTACCTTCAATATTTAGTGTTTATTATATCCTTCAATATCTTAAAAATTGCACCATAACTCAAAACTCAATCAAACATGCCTAAAAGCATTAAAACCTCAACGGCTCAACATTTGACACCTTGTTCACATATAAAAATATATTATTTTATACAAAATAAAAATTAATTTAATTAATTTAAATTATTTTTTAATTGATTATTGTATAATTAATTTGATTTTATTTAATAAAAATATAATAAAAAATTTATTAAACATATGTATATTATGTCAATAATATTTTAATTATTCGAAACAAAATAAACGTTTGTAATAAAATATTTATTTTTAATTAATATTTAGATTGAAAAATATTTTATACTCAATATATAAAATGTATTAATAAATTATAAAATAGATATGTATTTTATTCGATATGAAACAAATGTTTACAATAAACTATTTATTTTAAGATGATAAAAAAATTTAAAAGATTTAGCCAACAATTTAGAACATGAAACGTGCTATCAAAAAAAAATATTTAAAAAAAAAAAAGAGTTTTTTACATATTAAATTACTTATTTATTTAATATATAAATGATTTAACAAATTAAATAAATATGTGACATTTTACATGTTAAATTAATACACAAAATGTAATTTCTATGTTACATATCAAAGAAGAAAAGTCATTTTAATGGAATAGATGATGGTCATCTTTATAAAACAGATGGCGGTTGTTATAAATAATCATACAATCATTGTTCTATGAAATTGATGACAGTTGTTATAAATAACCATTGTCTTTTTATAATTTTATAATACATAATTAATAGTGATAAATACAATAATTTTATAATAACAAGATATTATATGATTTAAAAGAATATATATAATATATTAAATGGGACACTTTTCATGTTAAATTAATATATAAAATGTAATTCATATATTATAAATTGAAGGAGAAAAGTCATTTCAGTGGAATAAATGACAGCTATTATGAACATCCTTTTAGAGAATAGATGATGGTTGTTATAACAATCATAATTTTATTATAATTTTATAACAAGTAATTGATAATGATAAATGCAATAATTTTATAATAACAAAATATCTTATGATTTGAAAAAGTATATAGTGTATATTAAAATTGTCTTTCAATTATAAAAAAATAATAATTTTATTAATAAGAGTATTACAATATTTAAAAACAATAATCTAAATGACGTATTATGTTTAATTTTTAACTAAAGAATCAAAAAATGAATAAAAATGTAATAGAGAATCGCTAAAAAGTTTGATAAAACATTTATCGAAATAATTCGATCGAATGTAAAATATTAAATTTTTTATTTTAAAATTAATTTATATTACTCACATATCATATTATTATTTCCATCTTTAATTTTTGAATTTGGAGTTGGGTCCAATTTAAGATATGAATTTGTACAAAAGAAATTCTTCCTTTATTCAAAACCTTATTACATGCTTTGCCATCAATGTGGATTAAAATACTAAATCTATACTAATAAAATTCAGGATTGAATTAGCATCATTAATCAAATAATTCTATCTCATTCAAGGATAATTGCAAAAAATTTAAGTAAATTAAAATATGCATGTCCTTTTATAAAACAAAGGGTAATTGTTATTTATGTGTTAATAAATATATTATAAAAATATTAAATAAATTATTTTATAAATATCAGATGTTATTCATAACAAGTTATCAAAGATAATATAATAAAATAATTTATTACGTGATTTTAAATTTTATGAACCAAACATTAAAATCTTATATTGTTTAAGGTGAACAATACACAAGAATTACTTATTCCCTTAGACTATCATTTTTCTTCCAAATCACTTATCTTCCCAAAATTTAAAAATTCACATACTAAACGCTGCTTAAGATGAGAAAAACCAAAGTCATGCAAGATGCTAGTTTATTTATATCGAAAGGGAAGAGGGGAAGGGGAGAAAAGGATGGAGAGAGAGAGAGAGAGTCAGTTATTACCCTATTCAATCTGGCCCCAGCATCCTTCCCGACATCTTCATAATTAAAGTTACAGCATCCAGTTCGAGTTGGCTTCGGGTATTTTTCCGATGATAGGTCAACATAGCTAAACATTCTTCTTGTAAAGCTTAACACATGGTTATTAAAGAACAAAAGTTTATAAGAATAATCTGAGGTTGTTACAGTTTTAATTCTACTCATCAAAGCTACTTTTTGCTCTTATCATCTCCTTCTGATTGATGAATATGGAATCCATACAACGTAAAAGGGAATAGATGCGCATTTAAACAAAATGAGGTTAGTTGTAAGCTTTTTTTATATTATGGTTTTCTTTATTATGCAAAATTCTCAAAAAAATAAAGCAAAGTGTGGATACAATATAAGATATTTACTCCATTTAGCCAAGTGGATCAACACATTACACCCTTATCTCAGGAATTATTAGTGAAAAATAAAAAAGAAAAAATAAAAGGCAAGTGGACAGGTACTTGAAAACCAAAGGCAACCTTTCCCTTAATATCTATTGTCTAGCTATGTGGTCCTAATTCCTAAAGCAGTTGCGCATAAAACTAAAATAAAGAAGCCTAGTAACCTTAGGTAGCTCTAAACGAGCATTCTTTTCAGCCCTCTCCTAGTGCAAAAGCTTCCTTATTATTGAGCTAACAATAATTATATATACCAACTGAAAGACAAAAAGCATGAGCATAATATTTGCAGCAGAGTCTAACTGGTTTCTTCTATTTTATTTAACTCTATTGCCTTTGCGACAGAGAAAGAGAATGAAATTTGCATCAGAATCCATCAACGTTTGTTTGATTTTGTTTTAAGTAATGGAGAATCACTAACCAAGAATACGTCATGTCTCCTTGGCATTAATTGAAGCCTTTAAATTTTTTTTTTTCCCATAATCCATATTATAATCAAGCCTATACTAAGAAAGATGAGAATCAATTCACAGCTGAAGTAAGCACGTACAAAGAACCTTCCTACCTTTTCTGACCATGTTAGTGTCAACTTTCCGACCCATTTTAAATTTTTTTAATTTTTTTAAAACTCAAAAAGGGCAATAGAAAGAAAACAGGGAGAGACTACATAATCCATGACATACATGTTATAAAACTAATGGTCAATTATCACTAATTACAAGGTAAGAATAAATTTATGCATTGAGCCCATGAAAGAAATTTAGAAATGGAATGTGAACATCACAGTCGAAGGTTAGCTTTACGGACAGTGACAAAACTTTGGATCTATTTCTCAACCAGTGGATATGATTAAGCAACCAACGATGCACTACAACCACTATTATGATTATCAATATTTTATTTATAATTAAAGTAGATTATCTATCACCTTCAAGCTCCTCTTTTAATCTAAAATTTAAAGTAATATTGATGAATAAAAGTACCATGTGATAAAGTTTATACAGAAACTTAGAAAGCTTACAAATTTGTCAGTTGCAGGACTTTTTCAAGAAGATGTATTGATTAAGTTCCGAGAAAGGAAGAAACCTCTGCTTCATTAGCACAATATGTTTGAAAGTACTGCACGATAATCCTTGCCACAATTTACCTCTGAGCTTGGAAACATATTCCTCCTTTTTTGTGCCTATTTAGAGAAAGAAAAGTCAGTTATTGATCAAAGCTTTAAATAAGACAGCCACCTTAGAAGTACCACAATAACAAATAAGACTCGAGTTTTCCAAAAAGGCCTCTTAACATCAGCGGCACTAAAGTTTAAAACAGTCAAAAATGAACGAAACAAATTTAAATGCCTGTGTTACAAAGCCATGGAAAATTTTCTATCTGCATGGGGTGCCCTTTCAATCCTTACTTGACACAGCATGCTCATAAACATGTCGACTGCAGCACGTGACAGTATACTACTTGGGCAGTCATTACTCAGAGAAATCATAATAGATTAAATAAACTAGTTGACCACACACTTCTAGGAACCCAAATCTAATTCTGCGGCAAACATGAGAAATAATCCATAACATATATCTTGATAATTTCAAGTAAACTCAAAAAATTGAAAAGATAATTTGGAGTACATCAACCCTACAAAATTTGATCTTTTAGTTCATTTATCAAATTCAATGGTTGCCAAAGATATCAAATATCATGCACTTTCAAGTGATTACTCAAGGTTTGACAATTCAAACAAAAGAATAATCTTCTTTTACATGAGATGATCTGAACAATCAGTCAACACTGACAAGCAATTGAGAATATGGTTGTAAGAAAACAGCTTGAAGCATGTTGCCTTAGGCGAAATGTATTTATCAGCATAGGCATGATAGCTACTGCTTTAAGATCAGTGACTCATCAACCTGAATTACTATCATGAACTTCATTCTTTCATAAAACGTTCTACATCATTTTTAAAACTTTTACTCATTGCTATTCAGAAAGATTGTTTACTTGACTATGAAACCTCTTTATTAAAATAAAATAAATATTTCTGTATCTCGTGTGGTTTAGATATTCTCTCTCCCTTTTCTTCTTTTGGGTGGTTACCCCTTCAAAGCACAGAGGTCGAGTCTTGTTTTCCGTAAACTATACACTAATCTTAAATGATCAATGATAGATTTATACATTCACCCAATGTTATCACTAATGTTATTGTTCATAATAAATCTGGAAAAATTAGGCATTAAAAATTTCAACTGCTACAGAAGTTAAAACCAAGAAACTGAAAAGCATCATGACTAACAACTAATTTTGCAACAATAAAATATGGTCTCTCTGAGTTGCTTCTAATTCCCTGAAAATGGTAGAGGTGTTGAAACGATGTTGCACCGTGGAGATTTTATTAAATCATTAATCATATTAAAGGCTGTTATGCAAAGTGCAAACTGGGCCATAATCTTCATTTATGCCCCTATGTGAGAAATGTTGTTACTGACTCTATCTAAGCGTGATTTACATGTTTTGAAATAGATAGCTTGCCAATCGATATTTATTGTGCTTTACTTACAATTAGTTCAGTGTGTGCCAGTAAGAAAGAGGATTGGGCTTTCAAATTTCTAATCAATTACTTTCATGGGACAAGAATCATTTGAAATGGAATATAAGTGATGGATAATATAACAGTAACAAGGAATCAAATCACTGAATGCACAAAAAATTGCTGCTTTTGGGAAGTTGCATAAATTCTTCAGCAGTACATAGACATGGGATTGGTGAAAGAAGGAGAAGAAGAAGACAGATTAGAAATTTATTCCTGAAGAGCACTGAACATTAGCAGAATTAGAATGTTGGAAGAATCAACAAAAGGGATTGTATGCTAGAGATGTAAAACTGACAAGTTGAAGTTATAGACCAAGATTTGCTGAAAGGGTCTGATTAGTAATATCCTAAAAATAAAGAATTGGAAGTCAGAGAACCACAAATTCTATTGTAAACAGGCATAGAAATTTAGATACAATACAATGTCAGAATAGCAGATGCATGCTACTAGTGATGGAAATTAGGACGTGTGCACATCAAGTAACAAAAGCACTACAAAGCAATAAGACAATGAAATGTGTCAAGACCAACTTAGCTAAACTATAATTGACAAGAACATTATTGCAAGTTATGCTATAAGTTTGGAGAAGGGAATTCTTGAAGAAGAATGCTTCTTAATTTAAATGTATAACATCGCAAGTTATGTCATTTAATGTGTGCAGGGCTTCCTTGCAAGATGAATCATTCGACACTCTTAGGAATTCTCTTTTTCTATTTTCTTTTCTCTTAACCGATATGCTACTTCTTCTCAGGCTGTCACTTTTAAACAATTCATATTAACAAATAAAACAGAAACGCTCACTAATGTTCTTTCACTTGGACTTATTACAAGGTTTCTCTATACTCCAAATGCTTTGAACTACACTTCAAAAGTAAAAGCACATTCTTTAGCGGCTAATTTGATAATGGAAGGAGTTATGGAGAATAAAACTATGTTGTGGCAATTTAATAGCATTAAACAAGAAATTGTACTTTGTTTTGGTTAGCAACAAATTTTTCAAAAATGGAATTCATAAGAATAGCTTGTCTGTTAACATATTCTAATTAGCATCATGGAAAAAAAAAGCATTGCAAGATTTTCAAGCTTAACACAGCTAAGAACCAAAACAACTTTCATACATGTGCTTCCCAGAGTCCAATGTGCAGATAGATAAAGCTTCCTGAAATTTTCGATAGGTCCACTTACTATCAATAAAATCATCTGATCAACATTAGTGCACAATTCATGCAATAGCTAGGAAGAAGCTTATAAAAGATTAATTCACTCAAGAAATGCATTGAGCAATGAGGAAAGTATGCAGGAAATGATATAATCTTCAGGTCAAACAAACAGAAATAAAAAAAAAAAATGTTTGTCTACTGAAAAGTAGTATAAGACTACAACTGCACCAGTGACTGCTAGCAAAAACTTAAAGGTGTGGCATCACACAGTGGGAAAACAGGGTATGGAATTTATTGTGCGCTTTCTGTAATTCAGGAAAATGTTTACTTGTCCAGAAAGAAGCAATAACTAAAATGTACATTGAGATTCCATAACCCATACCTCATCTTTTGTTTAAGATAGGCTCTTTCATCGCTATGGGAGCATAAACTTCGAACTACATGCTGTCAAGATAAAAAAAAAATTCAAGTAAGAAAATGCGACTTGAGATTATAGCAAACCAGAAACTGTTGGATGACAATTGGAATGTAAAATTAAATTTGATTCCAGAACCATATTATCAGACCTAAATGACGGTAAAGTTAATAATTCCATAGAGCAATTCTTTTGAACTCTAGCTGCAAGAATTCTATACAATTTAGTAGAATATACAGTTTGTTTTGTAAAGATGTGCGCATAGAATAAAATACCCTAATGTATATGAGTAGTGATTATTAAACATGAGCAACAGAACAAAGTAACCAGCCATTCCTCGTTCATAGCATCAATGAAGAATGAACTATGAGACAAAGCTACAAAGCATTCCCTTCCTATTATGACATGTTCTGAATCTGGATTCATGAACTCCTTGGGGTATGATTTTAACAAAAGCATTAAGATTGGACATTTAAAAGTGGCATGAGTTAGTATGATTCTGTTTATCAAAAGATAGGCTCATATACAAGCATAAATGTAGACAAACACCAAAAAAGATGTCATAAAAAGACAATCAGATGCATAATCTTCATTTTAAGTAGTCTAGAGAATTTGAATGTTACAATTTGTCTAGATTTTATGGCCAAAACACAGGCTGAAGCAACAAAAACAACCAAAAAAAGGACTTCATTAGTCATTGTGCTTCCAAGAGAGTGAAGCTCTCTGATGGACTGAACCACCTTGTGTCATTCTGCCTTGCCACTTTAATAATTCTAACATTCAATCTGTTAATCTTTAGATTTTACAATCAAACTTATGTATTATTTCATTTAGTAGTTTTTGCCCCAAAGACAACCATTGTAGCTTTATTTAATCCAAAACCTACGATATTTGCCTAAATTTTCAAGCGGATTTTGGTTCAAAGGTTTGCTCATCTGGCATCTTTTTTGAAATATCATTCAATTGACTGACACTGATAATATCATTTAACAAAATGCATTCAGACTAGACCATAGATAACCATGCAAGATATCAGCATCACCATAATCGTAGTCATACATAAAAAATAAAAAATGGCAATGTCCGATAGTTCATCCTAAGTTGACAAACCAAACATCCACTTTCAAATAAATGTATGGGTAATACTTGTTCAAATCGATTTTTTTAATTAATTTTCATTTGCTTCGCCACTCAATTTAAGATCATTAAATTTCAGCCATAAATTAACTTGAGCGTGCATTCTAAACCAAAAGATGAAATAGTAGACATCTCCTGCAGGATCCTAGCCCTAAATAACAATCGTATCGTATCACCATCACCATAATCATAGTCATTGTTATCATTGGTTTGAGCTTTTTTCTCTAAATAACTCAAAATGATTTCAAATTTACATTACAATTCCTACAAAAACTTATAACAAAAAAAATCGTCATTTAATACATTGTAACATTTAAATGCATTCTTTCCATAAAATTTTTCTCAATCTATTGTACTTTAATCCGGTCAGTTGTATATAAATTCATTGGGAAACGGGATTAAACAAGAATCAGAGCAATAAAATAAGCATTACTTAACCAAAAGTGCCGATAAAATAAAATACTAATGAGAAGGAAATTAACGGAACTCCAACGAAAATTAATATATATATATATCAGAAATTATGAAGGAAACTAACCTTGAAAAGAGCAGAGAGTGAAGCTGGTAGATGGCGCCATTTGCAACCAGCAAAAAAAAAAGCTGTGAATTCATATATTGGGTGCCAAAAGAGGAAAAAAAAAAAAGATTCCTTGAGGGAGGGAGCAAGAAAGGGGGGGACGCACCAATAGCTCATAGGGTGCAATTTGATCTTTTAGCCGCCATAACAAGATTGGTTTCGTGAGTGGTGTAGAAGAAATTAACTAGACATAGCAGCGGGATTAAAATCAAGCTTGTGTTTGATGTAAAAATAATGGCCGTTACAAGGTAAATCACAGCGAAAAGATAAAATCAGATTTACGCTGGGATACATATAAATAAAAAAAATAAAATAAAATAAAAGTTATTTAAAAAAAAATACGTGTATCTCTTATTTGAATAATTAAAATTAATAAAAAATAAAAAAAATTTAATAATCATTGTTTAATAAATAGTGAAAAAAAAATAATTCATTATAATATTTTTTTTGAATTATAATCTTTTTTTATAAAGTAATCTATAATATATAAATATATCTTTATACTACTTAACTTATATAAATAAATATTTCTAAATAAAATTAAACATGTTTAATACAATAAAATATATTAGTTAGTTATTGATTTATTTTTAATTTTATGTTTAATTCAGTCTTTTAATTTACTCTGACAATAATTTGACTTATTTTGTCATTAAAACTTGAAAAATCATAAAATATTTATAAATTGTAATATTATATAAAATACTCATAAAAAATTATTTTTGTAAGAAGTGTCAATTATATAATTAAATCTAATCTCATAATAAAAATATGGATACAATAATCTTTTTATAAAAAAAAATTTTTGACTTTCCTTTACTTAGCTTTTTCTCCAAATTGGGGTATTAAAAAAATAAGGATTACAAGAAAAATTAAAGGATATTGAGTTTTCACCTATTTTGTTTCCTTTAAATTAAAAATTTATCCAAACAAAGAAAGGGTTTTTATGTTTTCATTATTTTTCATTGTTTTCCTTTTCTTTCATTCCTCTCCCTTCAATCCAAAAATAATGTTAATTTTAAATATTTAATACTTTTATAAAATTAAAAATTATTAAATTATTTTAATATTAAATAATAATTTTCTAAAAAATAATTAATAATTAATAAAAATAATTATATTTCAAATAATTTTTATTATATTAAATTAACAAATTTATTTTAATTTTTTAAATAAAATTTTAAAATTTAAAGAAAAAAATAAAAATTAAATTGTAATAATATTTTTATATTTACAATACAAATTAAAGGGTAAAAAAGAAAGAATGGTTTACCTAGCCAATGACCTAAAATAATAGTAATCAACTAACATAATTTTTATGGCACAGTTGCATTTAAATGGATGTTCAATGCCATTTGGCACATTTATGCATGCAACCATGAAAGTACAATTGCATCCAAATGAGCCATTTGTTAAGAATATATTTATGATTTTATTGAAATTTATGAAAACTAAGAAGGAAGATAACCTTTAAGAAATTGTGTTATTAATTGTATAGAGTTTTGAAGAGTTAGGTTATAACATTCAACACATAGTAAATTAGACTTCTTGACAAGTAAGGTTAAGAAAGAAGACATAGGTGCCTAAAAGAAAGGCTGAACATCTATAAATTTTAGTATTTAATTCTTTATCTCAATCTCTTTACTTTTAAGATTATTATTGTGCTCAAATTTGTTGTGTTTATTTGCCTAAAAATATTGATTTGTAAATTTTGTATTTATTGGATATTAAATTGTAAAAATTCATTATCAACTAGTTCATCCCCTTTTTTATTTTAATTCAATCTTTAAGCTAACAATTGGTATAAAAGCTAGTACTTTTTTTTGTAAGTCTAACAACCTAAAAGTGATTCTAAATGGCTTAAAGAATATGGTGATGAAGGAAGAACTACTATCTACAAGTTACAACAATTATGGAGAGCAACAAGAAGTGTGTCTAATGGCAATTGAAACAATTACCACATCTCTTGGTGGTGAAGATTATTCCATTGTGAGACCATCTCTCTTTGTTGGTAACAATTACTCATATTGAAAGATAAGGATGTGATTGTTCATTCAAGCTAATGATTATAAAGTATGGAGAATTATTGTCAATGGTCTTCAAATTCTAATGAAGAAGGTGGATAATAGAGATGTGATCAAGCAAGAAAGTGAATGGGATGCTAATGATATGAAGATGGCTCAACTCAATGCCATAACAATGTATACAGTCTTTTGTGCATTGAAGCCTAATTAGTATAATATAGTTTTCTTGTGTGAAAATACAAAGGAAATTTAAGATAAATTGGTTATTACTCATAATGGTATTAATCAAGACAAGGAGACCAAAATTGACATGCTTACTCATGAATATGAGCTATTCAATATGAAATTGAAAGAAACTAGTAGTGAGATGTTCAACCACTTCACCAACATCTTAAATGGTTTGAAGGCTCTTGGAAAGACATATTCTAATGTGGAGATGGTAAAGAAAATCTTGAATAGTCTACCAAAAAGCAATGAGGCAAAAGTGACAACAATTAAAGAATCTAAAGATTCTTATACACTTTATTTGAATGAACTCATAGGTTCTCTTTTTACTTATGAGTTGAAGCTCAAACAGGAACAAGAACCAATCAAGAAAGGTAGAATTACTTTTAAATCAACAATTCAAAAGGAAGCAAAGATTGAATAAGATGAGGTTGATGAGGATGAGGAAAATGGCCATGTTTGCCAAAAGGTTCAATAAGTTTGTGAAGATGAATAAGTTCTCAAATAGAAGAAAACCACAAAAGGAAATAACCAAGGGAGAATCAAGTAGAAGAGAAAAGGACTAAGTTGTTTGCTATGAATACAACAAACTGGGTCATATCAAATTTAATTATCCTTTGAGGAAGAAGAAAAATTCAATGAAGCCAAAGAAGAAAGCAATTGCAACATGGAGTGATAGTGACTTCTCTGACGATGAATTAAATGAGGAGAAAGTGGCCAACTTATGTCTTATAGCTCTTGATAAGCCCAAGGTAATTTCTAATCCAAATGATTTAAATTCATACACATTTGATAAATCATAAGATGCTTTTGATGAATTAGTTATAGAATTTAAAAGCATGAACACGAAGTATAGAAAAATGATTTCTAAGTTAAAAGTAGAGAATAAGCTTTTGAATAAGGCAGAGAATGATTTTGAAAAGGAAATTGAGCTTTTGAAATTGAATGTTGATGGTTTGACTAAGAAAAATGTGAATTTACAAAATTCTTTTACTAAATTCTATGTGGGACATCAGAAGCTAAATGATATACTTGAAACTTAAAGAGCATTTTTTGATAAAGATGGATATAATGGTAGTGACAAAGAAACTCATTTGAAGAATTTTCTTATTAAATCAAATGATTCATCTAGTACATGTGCATATTGTCATAAATTGGGTTATTTTATGTAATATTGTTTATTGAAGAAAGTCACTCATAGAGGTAAACTCATTAGAAATTTGTGGATTCCAAAAAGAGTTAACACATTTTAAGATAAGATTACTAGGATGAAGTGGATTCTAAAAGGCATAAGAATTGTGAGTACTAACACTCAAGGAACCAAGAAAGTTTGGATACCCAAAATAAAGGTTTGATTATGTACTTGTAAGTAAATGAGTATTGCTATAAGGCAAATTCAAGCAAGAACAATCCATGGTGCCTTTATAGTGGATACCGAAAGCATATGACCAGAGACGAGGTCCAATTCAAGGATTTAAAGGCTAAAAGTGGAGGAGATGTTACATTTGGAGAAAACTCTAAAGATCAAATTGAAGGAAATGGTTCCATTAGTAACAATTCTTTTACTACTATTGAAAATATTTTACTTGTGAGAAGACTCAAGTATAATTTACTTAGTATTAGCCAATTGTATGATAAAGGACTTAAAGTTGTGTTTGAATCCATTGTTTATCAAGTGATTGATATCAAAACTAATAAACTAGTTTTTATTGGAAATCGTTAAGAAAATGCTTATGTGGAGCATTTGAATGATCTATCTTCTAAAAATATTTGTTTTATGGCTCAAAAAGAAAATCAAAGTTGAACTTGGCATAGAATACTTGGAAATGCAAGTATGCATGTAATTTCTAAACTTTCTCAAAATGATTTGGTTGTTGGTTTACAAAAACTGAAATTTGAAAATGACAAGATTTGTGATGCATGTGCTAAGGGAAAATATGAAAAAATTTCTTTCAAACCTAAAAATTGTATTTCAGCTACTAGACCACTTTAACTTCTTCATATTTATCTTTTTGGTCCTACTAGGATAATTAGCCTTGGTGGTAAACAATATGGGTTTGTTATTGCTGATGGGTTTGTTATTACTGGTAAACAATATGGGTTTGTTATTACTATATATACATGGATTCTCTTATTGCATTCAAAGAATGAAGCTTTGGAAAAATTCATCACTTTTAGCAAACAAATACAAAATAAAAAAGGTTATTCAATTTCTAGTATTAGAAGTGATCATGGAAAAGAATTTTGAAAATCTTGGCTCTAATGAGTTTTGTAGTGAAATGGTATTAGTCATAATTTCTCTACTCCTAGAACTCTTTAACAAAATGGGATAGTAAAAAGCAAAAATAGAACTTTAGAAGAAATGGTTAGAATTATGCTTTGTGAAAATAATTTATCTAGATATTTTTGGGCGGGAGCCATAAATATCTCTTGTTATATTATAAATAAAGCTATAACTATGCCAATCTTGAAGAAAACTCTCTATGAAATTTTTAAAGGAAAAAGGCCTAATATAAGCTATTTTCATCCTTTACAAATGGTTTATTTTGAACAATGCAAAATATAATTTTGAAAATTTTGATACAAAAGGTGATGAAAGCATTTTCCTAGGCTATTCTTTGAATTTAAAAGCTTATAGAGTCTTTAATAAAAGAACATTAGTTGTTGAATAATCCATACATATTACTTTTTATGAGTCTAATCCTCCTCCAATATAAGTATCTCTTAATGTAGGAATACTTTAAGAAAATATCAATGATACATCACATGATATTGAAGAGAACAATGAAAGAGAAGATAATGAATTTCTAAAAGAACCACAACAAATAAAGCATGAACTTAATCACCATAGAGAATGAAGGTAGGTTAAAGACAATTAGATTATTGGTGATCCATCTTAAAGAGCAAGAACTAGATTTTCTTACAATGTATATAATTATGTTGCTTTTCTTTATAATATTGAACCTAAGAACATAGAT